GCTATTTAGTCTTCACAACCAAATGTTCGTTCGAGATTTTTCACGAATGAGCTTCCAATCGTTGGTTTCTAGGCATCCGTCAAGTGTCATGACGGAGGAAAGTTGAACCAATCTCCACCGTAACCAAAGAAGGACGTCTTCTGGGCATGTTAAGCATTAACGTCATAGAAACTCCAAACAACTGCAGACAAACCGGAATCTGACGTCGTCATTGGGTCAGATTGATTTGCGAACCTCTTCATCATCTTTTATTCAAGGCCTGTGCAATAAGTCACTGAAGGTCTTGTGGAAGCAGAGTGAAGCCTTCGTTTGTCGGCACGTTGATACATTCGGAGCAGGAATCAAAGCTAGCTCTCACTTGACGTGAAGTGAATGTAAAAGGAGTTGCTTTCGGCATGAATGATTTTTTGAAGGAATTCCGAATCAGTGAAACCGAATTGGATAGAATGGCATCTTTTTAGTCATATTCCCAGTAGCGTGAATGTTTGAGCATATGATCACCATAGCAGTGGTTGAGATACAGTCGTTGGTATGGGTACAGGCCAACTGAACTTCGAAAGACTGCCTACATACGCTCGGTATCCGCCCCTAATTTCGCCGGAAACAGTGGCAATTTGGCCTCATCTGACACCGAAAAAAGTCCGCTTCGGCGTTGCAGCGGTTGACTTGGGCGTAGTTCGTTTCTTCGAAGACGTCTGTGTCCAACTCTACAGTCGCAACTCTGAGGCGAACTGTCTTCGGTTGACAGAGCAACCAGATGCTTGGGCCGAAATTCGTATGGAACTTCTGTTGGTATGAGGAGGAGAAGAGGTGAAGGCTGTCTTCGACTCAAATGACAGCAGATTGCTTTCCATTTCGCTTGAAAGGTTGGTTTTTAAGGAATTCGTGAATTGGTCTCACCGTAAACGGAAGGACCTAAGAAGAGACTAATTAGGGTTGCAGCCTGCCGCCTTTTCTTTTTGTTTTGTATGTTGGTACGCCACTCTGTGCAGTATGCTTTATCATTCTGACGACGTCTGTCACGATGGTACATACGAAAGATTAGCACAAATTCATCTGCGTCACAGGACTTTTATACTAAATCCGTCACTCTTCACTTTGCAGCAACCCTCCTTCGGTTTCCGGTGGGACCAATTTTTCTAATTCCTTTCAACCCACTTTTTCTTTATATGCTAACCTTTTGTTTATTTGTGATTAAGATTA